TGTGTTCGTCAGACCTCTAACCATTGACCAACCTGGTGTGAGAGACTCTGTGAGTGTCGCGGGACACTCCCTAGTATAGCTCAATGGATCGCTGAGGTGCGCAAACCGTCACTCCACGGTAAGGTCCAGTCTCTTCGTCATCAACCGAAGCGATATAACTAGTGGGCGGTGAGTCCTGCTGCAAGCCCTATACAACTACGCACCATTGTGACGACTATTGACCGCTTGCAACAACCCTGTCAAGTTCTGGGAAATTTTGTGTTCAATGAAAAACGGGTTAAGCGTCCCATTAAGCCACAACACCGTCACAGACAAACAAGGATAGGAAAGGTGGCCAAGACACAGAGAGACAGGCAGTTCAGACAGTGACGTTCTAAGATTTGAGTGAATGCCTGAGTTACACCGTCGTCCATATAGTCTAAATAGCCTTTACTACAGACGGTATTTTGCAATCATCGTTTTATCAGTCCAAAGTTGGTTGCAGTCAGACCATGATGTCCAAGTCATTTACTACGCGGGCGTGAGGGAGGTTTAGTCGGTGTCATTTTCATGATAATAGGTATGCAGTGGCTTAGAATGAAGCATTGCGATCACAAAACATTATTCCTCGATGTAGGTCAGTAATTCGCATACCTGGAAAATTTGAAAAACAAGAGACTCTTCCTTGAGAATGAGATGCTTGATTTGTTGCCGCACATGAAACAACAAATTAGCGGAGCTGAATTCTTCAACAAGAATGGATAGGAAGCACACCACAAAGTTGTTTGCATCCGTAGCTGCCGAATCTGCCGGTAGTTGTGTCAAAACTTTGGACTCGGAATCTAAACATAGGGAACAGAGACAAGAGCGACTCAGTTACACCATGGATTGGACACTTCCCCTCCCCACAAAACTTGTCTGTTTTTTAAATATATGCAGGGCATTCCTCAAGAACTACTTTGAATAGATTTTGTGTACGGCATCTTTTTAAGTTGATTTGTGATGAAAAAACATAATGATAATTGCGGTTTCCATCAATTCAGATGGTCTCCATCAAGCACAAAGCAATCGGAATCCATAAATTCTCTCCAAACCAGTGTCCCCTAACTTCGGAGAACAAATGGCAATTATTAGTACAAATGGCCAGGGCATAAATTTTCCCATCCAAAATCTTTCAAATGATCATTACAGTGACGAAAGCCGAATAAAGGAGAATGAGGGGAAGCTAATGATACTAAGCTCTTTGCAACGTTTAACCGTCGGCAACCCGTGATTAGTTTTTGTAACAACTCCAAGCCCAATAAATGGACAACGAATTTAGTGGATGAAAATGCGACGGATCGGAAGCGACTAGTCTCATTCAATCCAGCGGCAAGAGTTTGCAATAACAGAGACCAACGCTGCTGAAAGTAGTTATGTCCCTTTATCATGTCGAAATTTCAGGATGTCGGTGAGGATAGTAACTATGGGAAAGCATGCCTGTCTTACCAACGTTGTTGTCACTTTTGGCTGGGGGCTATGCTATATGCGGCCAGTGAAGCAAATTTACGTGATCGTTACTTTGTTACACTTCACACAATGTTCAACTTAAAGAAAATCAGCTTGTTAAAGAAAACGAACGCGGGACAAAACATGATGAACATGGTCTGCTGCAAACAATGTGCGGTTAGAAGTGACCGCAGCTATTAGTACTTGAGTGGTAAGTCTTAGCAGTGTTGAACACCATACCTCGATTAGTTGTTCAGTCTTAGCGTTTGAGCCCTGACGCTTCTCCCTGTCAATTAGCCAGCTAACAGAAGATGACCAAGTCGATGTAGCTCTTGAAAAAACGGGCTAAATGACCTCTAGGGAAAATATCTAAGACCTTACAATACATGCGACTTTGTAAAGCCGATAAAAACATGTCAAGCGGTTTACGGAAGTGCCATAATGGTAGGCAAATATATACTTACAACACGCTTATAAGCAAAGAATGGGAGTCGCGAGGACGGGCGGAACACAACTGACCGAGAAACAGATGTTCTAAATCTGTTCAAACTGGGTTACAGCATGATTCCATTGTCACAGATAGGAACCAATTGGCGGTAAAATGGTATCACGATTAACGCTGCGGCATTTTGCGCTACGAAGCTTTTAAAACGTTGCCATCAGAAGCCAGAAAAGAGGTGTACACTGGGTAAAATAGTCCTGCGTAACCTACCTTTTAAATGACTGACCACAAAGCTAACGGGAAAGTCCCAGGAATCAACAGTTCGGAAAACCAAATGCACTAATGCTTTGAAAAGCTGTTTTAAAAGCATGGATATTTTCCCAGTTCCTTCACTTTCCAAGTCACGAAGTTCCACAATAGATGTTAACAATCGCTCGCGAATCATCAACAATTTCTCCGTAGGTGGGACGGACTAAAACATCAAAGGTCAACTCGAAGGTGGCAACGTACAGCTGAATTTAAGGTCGTATGCAAAAGCATAGCGCCGAAAAAACGTGCGGAAAACGGCAGATTGCAGTCTAGCAGGGAAATGCCTATCTCCCAAATTTCCGAAGAATGCTGAATGGCATCAATGAACTGGCAACAGGCAGTATGATTGGTCCCAGTAAAATACTCTTGAATCAACGTTTGCAATCTTTCCGTAGGTTGTTTGTCCGCGGTGAGATACATTATAAAAGTGCCTGCGAAAGTGGGACTGTGAAACAGCAATGATCATTTATGAAGTGACGTTGTAGATCGGGATGTCTGTCCAACACAAGCAAGATAAAAGATTGGAGTCACACACTGATATTACACGACTTCGTGTATAACAAGGGGAATAAAGAGTAGATGGTGCGGTAATGAGGACATCGGCTGTAAAACTGAGCAGTTCTCAAGAATCGCGTTCTAGCCATCATCGAACTCCACTAAATGAATTTCCTTGGAAGCATGCTACACTAGCGAACGAATAATACAGCCCGGTAACTTGAACGACAGGCACGTCCGAAGGGATCGAAATCATAACTATACGGTCGGTGTGCCTCCGTTACAGAATAAGCCATACTGCGCAGTTTCAATATGGCTTCTCAGAATGGCCGATGGGTACAGTTTTGAAACAAAGTCCAGCGCCCTAGATTGGGTTTTGAAACATGTTTCGAGGACTGTTCCCAAATCCTTTGGTCAATGCATTAATTCCACGCTCAGTACCGCAGACTCCCAGTCACATTTGTTAATAAACCTAGTCACCCACGTGCAACTGCCCCTTTGACTTATCCTCGTCCTTCACTCAGCTACGTACCACATAGAGAAGAACCTCACACCACTCCAGTCATTTCGCGGTTTCATATACTGAGCCTCCACACCAATTGCAAACAGCAAGTTAACACGCATTACTGCTGCCATCCGCAAACATGACTTTCGAGTCCTCGGCTGTCAATTCAATGATAATTTTTGTGGGTCCCAACTTCAGTCATCCAGTTATATAAATATAATTGCACGCACTCGTCCTTTGTGGGCGCAGTTCCAAATACGTCCCATTGTGCTTTTTTGCGATCTGTGACATGATAACTCTCAAGAAAACTGCTCAAAATGTGCTACATTCAGGATTTTACTTTTCAGAAGTTGACGGTAACTCTAAAATCTAGAAATTGGTAAGCACCCCTCTTCCTAAAAAAGTGCACCACAGAGAAAGGGCGTTTCGTCCTCTATGGAGGAATCTCATTCAAAATCAGGGCTAATGAGGAACGCCATTGTGGCCTCCCAAGAAAAGTTCCTTCTCAAGCCTACCGCAGGTTACTGGTTAGGGAATCCAGAGGGTATACTGGAGTACGCATAGCATCAGGTCCACCAACTCTAATACAAGCGTAAAATGTGCACAATAGTAAACGATCTCAACTTATTCGCGGCTATATACTAGCTAGCACAACCATTCTACTTGTTGAGGCTGGAGTTCGGGACCTAGGACATATCTAGCACGGACTCGAAGCTTAACATTAATGACGAATATTTTTTGCAGAAGTGTGTTTCGAACGAGTGGTTCCTTTCGACTCAGTGAAGCGTTCTGCAATGTCCGACATCCTCTCACTTCTGAGAACTATGAATTCAGACCCAACATCAGTTACCGAGAGCAAGGCACGACTGTTGAGTACCGACCTGGCCAGAATTATGCCCCCATCAAATGTCCGTTTTCGCTAGACTGTCCGATATACTGCAAACTACGGGTTCGCACACCAAAACTAAAAAAAACATACCCAGTAGTGTTATGAGGCATTGACTAATTCACCAGTTGATTGGTACTTCGAACTAAAAGAAGTGCTTCTAATGGACCTGCTGTCTCCATTGAACAGGTTCCAATGTTTATCCACTGTCCCCTACTCGAATTTCTCTTCGTTGGAAAGAAGAAGTGAATGAGAATAACGAAGAGCTTTAACTAAAAAGGGTGACCAAAGTGATTATGTCCACAATTGTCTAAACCTTTCATAAGAAAGAAGGCTTACATAATTTTGGACAAATCTGGTCGCCGACCGCCCCTGCATGAGAATTTTTAAGACTCATCCGGCTTCAGAAGATGGTCGCTTTAAAGTAAATGAAGTAATACTACATTATCCGATGTTGTCATTCAGAAAGCAAATCGGTCAGGTAGCCCATTCACCAAATGTACCTGAGATTTCATCATCAGTCAGGTTGTCGGCAGTGGGATGGTTCCAGCATTTTTCGTTTCCGGCCGTGTAAAGTCTACAGTGATCAGTGAGCGAGGTAAGCACCCACTTGAATCCTGGTTTTCCTCCAGTTTGAACTGATGTGCGGAGAATAAAAGACGTTTTTGGGAAATTTTTGGATTTGTCAGTACGGATATCTGTATTTCGGTAGGAGACCTGGCTGAAGTTAATTGCGGTGTGCTGGCTAGTGTGTTAGCTACGAGAAAGTAAAGTCAAATCTCACAAGCAATCAGATTTACTAACTTGCGGAAATGTTAAAACATATCAATTGTCTTAAGATTGAGGTCCAGGGAACATTTCGTACGAAAATAGGGATATAAATCAGAAGTGAAAATGGCGTTTTAACACAACTTGTATTTTCAAAAAGGCACAATGGAACAACCGATTCGCATGAAACCACACAGAGAGGAATTGAAAAAATCCGATAGCAGTACAAAACAGGTAGACGACACGGTCAAAATTAGCGGTAATTAGGCTAATTAAGCCATTGCCAAATAATAAAAAGGAACAAAACCAACATGGGCCTAGCGCTAGAGCGCCGAATAGAAAAATTGCAAGATGATTTACCCATTTGACTGGCAATCACAGGAGAGTGGAGAATAATCGCGAAGACATTACCTTGGAACAGATTGTGTACCTTGTTAGACTGTGGCACCAGACTGCTCACATAATAATTTGCGGTTCTACAACCGACTGAAGGATACTCTTATGCGGGAGCACCCGAGCGCCGTTAACAAACAGCTCGTCAGAGACCATTACATCCTCACCGAGGACAGATACATTTTCCATTCGAACCTGTGATTTATGGGAAGACAAACATTCACTTACGTAATAAGGATGCAGGACACAGTTATTTTGAATAAAATATCCAATACAGTGGAGGAAAAAAGGAGACAATGAGTGGAACCAAGGGCTAGCCTACCACACAAAACGCCTCAGATATCTAAACTTCCAACTCTGTCAGAAATCTGAACAGAAAATAACAGGATGGGCGTCGTTGACATCGGTTAGCTACCATATCTTTCAATGTTCCAAGCGGAGCACACGAAAGCCACATGGGTCCAATCCTGGAAGATGAACAATACCAGCAACACCCAGGATCTAACTCAAACGATGCCGATGGACTAGCTAGACATACTGAGAACACGAATGGACTAGAGTATACGACCGTTAGTTTGTTCACTAAGCTCGACAACGTTTCATCACCAGTCAAGGCGAAATTATCAGCGCGCTGTACACAACCACTGACTCAGCGCTACGGTCTGCTCCACTACCTAACAATACACTGATGATGTCACCTCGATTGGTGATGAAACTTTTGCCGTTCGGAGGACAAACCAACGACCGCATAGGCAGACAGTCAGAAGGCTGCGGTAAAGCGCAACCGCAACCTGTTGGCAGACGAAGCTGGGGAGTTACCTATCCTAATATCAGCCGAGCTTGATAATTGTTTTGAGTGTTTCGTCACTAATCGAAGTGAGTTTACCCATGTGCACCGACAAACCACGTTCCACTGATGTCAATTTGATGGGTCACAAAACGGTTACAACGAGATTGTCAAGTTAAGCGGACAATTAAACTATCAATACAAGGTAATTGGATACAGGAGCAGTTCTCTAAATTAGCGAGTGAACCAACTTGCAATTTTAGTGGAATCACGATAGCGGACCCTTTAAATTGATTAAACCATCGGGAATATCATCTTGACCATTCACAAGTGATCTCTGGAGGTGTCACGTAAAGCGGCAGCTAGCAGCATCCTAGTTATCGATGGCGGATACACGGTCGCACCCCATCAGTTGCTTTTAGCTGACACAGGTCACATGCTTTTAATCTACTCCTTGATGTTTGTACTTTGTTTATGGCGACCGTTTTGAGAATAACCTACTGTGTTAAACCAAGGCCTTGTCACGAGATATTCACTCGACCAAGAGTGGAATGGACACCCATAAAACGACAGGATCGTTGTTACGGTCCACCTGACTGTTTCTCACTACAACTGCGTAAGCTATGGTGCAAGTCACACGGAATTGACGTCAGATGCAAAGGTCAATTTGTATGTCGGCCATGAAACGTCTACAATGTCAGCTTAATTCATTCCAGTTAAGCTAAACTACTGACACCTCCATGCAGTGTCACATAAACAAAGCGCCTTGTGAACGTATACCGAAACAACAAAGTAAGTGCCGTGATCCATAACGCAAAATCTCAGACGAGTGTCTACATAAGCACAACCGAGGAGATCAATTCGTCTAAGTTTCGATCCACAGAATGTACGACTCGTAACTTACACAGTTCATTAGCTATCCATCTCCGTGACGCACTGTTAGGATTAATGGGGCTATGATGGCAATCGGAATTTTATTATGGCTGTCGAAGTGCTAGTGCGGCCACTGACCTCATGCATGCCAAATAATGATTGTTTCTAAGGCTCTCCAAACCTGTGCGATGACATCTCGATGATTTTGCAGGGGCTTTTAATATGTGTGGAAATGTTCCAGTTCGGCAAAACTTTCCAAAAAACTGTGTCTGAGGCAGACACTGATGCAGTGAAGTCGTATGATGTAATCAGTCAGTCGTCAAGGTTACTGCGGAGCTATGTTAATAAGTAAACTAGAATAATGAGTGCCAACGAAGACAATCGTACAAAAAATATGTATTTCAACATTACAATCCAAAAAAGTGCGAACGCCGGAGGTACAATAAATGTTGCGTTTTCTTGCACTGCCTCATCTAAGCCTCATTGCGGGCAGTTTGTATTGCCAATTAAGATTCTCTATCGAGCAGATCAAATAAAACCACAACAAGAGTTTCATACTATAGTGGGACAACATAACATAACACTAACACTAGCTCTAGCAAGAATAACCCAACTTTATTAATAACTATCGTTGCAATGCCACTGGGAGGCAAAACAGCCATTCCTATGGCCTCGAGGGTGGAGTGTAATCGGAATGTAGTTCGTTCCTCAAGAGTTCTTTCCAAGTGGGCTAGTGTAAAAGCTATCAACGGATCACTAGAATCTGTTAGCTGGGTTAATCGACTCACTCCAACAATTTTTCTTGGCATCCCTCCTGACTTGTACACCTCACAGCCGCTGACCGTTGACAGTGAACACGATGTCTATCAAACTGGTATTGGAGTGCAGCCTTGGCTGTGGGTGGTTTCCGAATAACGGGCCATTTTGCTGATCAGTGACCTAGCTACACTGAAGGCAATCGAACCAAGAATCCGTGAAACCGAGCTTCACCTTTAGAAAGCATTTGTGGAAAACGTTCAAGTTCCACGAATTATAGAGGCGAATTCCGAAACTAACCACTGGGGCGCATTCTAAGCCACCTCAATTTCACTGTATGAGTAAAGCGGTCTAATGGGATGAGGCTTCAGTAGTGATTTCGAGATCAGCATGATGGAATGAACCAAAAGCGTTCAGTTTAGATGCTTAAGCCCACTATTCATAGCGTTAAAACAAGGGAATACTGAGGAACCACCACTTGGAAAATCGACAAAAGGCACGCACCCATTGGCCAATAGTGCATCGCCACCCAACTATACAATTGGAAACCCACGAATGTGCACGAATGATGCTGCCTTGTAGAAGCGTGGAGTTCTGTACGCGTACTCCATCTTCAATCATGCAGTCTGGGCCGACGACAACATTCGGACCTAAAACGCAAGACGGGGAGATCGTGGCCTTCGGATGCTGTGAAAGACAAGGAAGAGAGGCTTTGAGAGTCTATTTGAGTTTCGGGAGGGAAATTTTGTATCAGCATGTATCAGCATGCACGCAATAATTTCGAAGTTTGAATACTGAAAGAGTCACATAAGTCATATTCACGAACACCACAGATAATGCCGTCATGACTGCCTCCAGAAAATCAAATCTACAACCACCACCACCACAGGCCTATGACAACTGAGACTTTAACGTTCAGCGAGCTCCATAGCGCACGCGCAATCATGTATGGGGCAAGATGGTTGAGTGATTAAAGCGCGAATTTACTGACCGGAAGGTCCGCGGTTCGAAACCGACCTCTGCCTCTCAACTTCCCCTGTCTATGTTAGGGCAACCTGGCAGTATTCCAGCCCTCTTGCTTCCTTCTGATGGCATGACAATTAGGCACTGAAGAATTTTTTTAAACATACAGGTAGAAACGGCTGCCGCTTGATAAAGGTAGTTTTTATATATTCTAGCGCCATTTCAGGAAGCCGAAGCAAATCGAGCAGCACTGACATGGGATGGATATTTGAAGGGGATGCTTCATGTACATTAGGAAGGGATATGGTGGATATAGACTTATCGGTGATTTGTACCATTTGTACCAAGTGATCAACTACTAAAAGCATGCACTTACAATGAGCACATGACCATGAATATTCGGGCCGTTAGCTAGTACGGATTCACCCTTCTGTTTACCAAGATACTTCAGGAATAAATTCGTTCCAAGCAGGAAGTCATGCGGTTGTCCAATGTCCATCCAAAACCCTGGAACGAGGGATAGCAAAATGGGGACATTTACGGTTAGAAGTCGGCAGACGAAAATAAAATTCATTAAAGAACGAGACGGAGTGAATTAGCTCTGGATGGAGTGAGAAACATCATTTGTTAGGCCGAGTATGCCGTTACACGTCTAGAAACTAAAAATGTCACAGCACACGCAGTAACAAACCCACCAGTCAGATCCTTTGAATCTACTGCACAGTAAGTCTGAAAAGTAATAAAGCCAACGATTTGCGAGAAAGACAGCTCACCGCACAAACATGCACACATGAATAACCTGGGCGTTGGCAGAAAGAGACACGCTGAACTCCAAAATCCACACAAAGCAGATGTTGACAGTTATAAGCATTGGTTCTAGATGCTACAGTTTGACCACCGGCGAGTGGAAGAGTGTGGGAGATACGGCCAAGCCTAGAAAGCGATGGCATGTTTGGTTTGTTCAGGAATTGGGTAGCTACGCATTGACGGCGGCAGCTTTGATGCTCGAGCGCCACTGACTACACAATTGGGTCACTCTGCCAGTGCCATTAACGAGCGGTTGGTTGAGTCCCGTGGTCCTCATCCAAGGAGCAGCTATCGAGCAGCTATCGACCCGACTGAGTTTACTAGTTAATGTTTTCATACATCGTTCTAGGTCTTACACTGTCCACCTCTCGGTCGCTTCCACTCACGAAAAGAGTTCTGTAAGGCAGACTGTCTTCCAGCATGCACACCACATGTCCCAACCAGTATAACTTGCGCAGCGGAAGAGCTCCTTCTTCCTAAGACCATCTGGCGTACCTCAGCATTGCTAATCCGATGTTCCCATCAGACCTGACCAATGCTTCGGAGACACCGCGTAGAACCAACGTCTCTGATTCATAAAGCAGTTTGGGTTGCACAACCGCAGTGTGAACTCTGTCCTTGACAGACAAAGTGACGTCATGTCAGCGCCATAGGTGTCGGAGGTTGGCAAAAGCTGTCCTGGCCTTTCCCATTCGAGAAATAATCTACTTTTCAGCCAGTTCATCGGAACCTATAACGCCGCCCAGGTAAACAAATTTATTCGCCACATCGATCGGCTCACCCACAAGCACGAGGTGTGGGTTTGATCCCACCAAGTCTTGTGGCAGTACTTTACAATTGCATATATGAAGCGCATGCCGAACCGTGCGACAGTTATTTATGCTATTTAAAGTGATTCGCATTTCTGAAAGATATGAATCAAGAAGAGCAATATCGTCTGCACACTAGATGTCTATGAGCGAATGTCCCGGGAGCATTTCGACTCCCGAGGTTTCAGAGGCAGGCAGAGAAATTTCAAGTAGCACATCAATAATAAAGCCGAAGAGAAAAGGTGGGAAAGGTCAGTCTTGTCTTACACTACTGAACGTGGCGAACTGTGACAAAAGCTTGTCGTATACTCGTAAGCGCCCATAAAAGCTCGCATACAGTGCCCTTATAAGGGATATAAATTTGGAAGGGACACTTTGATTGCCAGACACTGCCAAATTTTCTGACCATCGACAGCATCAATAGCAGCTTTCAAATCGGGACGACTAACGTGAAGGAGTGGCGCTGTTCAAGAATTTGTCTCAAGGTAAACATGTGGTCGATGAATCCTCGGCCAGGGAGAAACCCAGCTTTGTTACCACGAATCTCTCTCGCGATAATCGACCGACCTGCACAAAATAATGCCAGAGAGCACTTCTGATGCGAAGGGTACCCGGCTGATAACACAATGGTTCTCACATAACGTTCTTGCGCCCTTTTTGAGGACTTGGATGACTGTCGAGGAGCTCTATTGTTTTCGTTCCAAGTCTTGTGCCATATGGCTGTCGAAAGGCTCACCAGTACCTCGCCACCTTCTTTGAGGAGCGCAGGGTGTAGACCATCCGGGCCAGCTGCCTTGTCCCGCTTCAGGATTGATTTCTGATGCTGGGTTTCGGTTGCTGATGGTAGGTTTGTGTCGATGTTTCATTCAGTCCAGCTAGGTTCTTCCAGCGGTTGTGTTCAAGGAGACGAGCTGAATTGTATTTTGAAGTGCTCAGCGCACGCTGAAGACGACTGAGGGAGTGAACTGCCGTTCCGTCTTTTCGCATGTTGTTTCGCCAACACCTAATTTCTTTTGAGCGGATGATCGGATCAGTTGAAACAGCGCGCGGGTGCTGCCTGCAGTGAAAGCCTTTTTCATCTTCCGGGCCTTCGAAATCAACTAGCGTTCTCTGTCATTCTTCAAGCTTCTAATTATCCAGTATTTGGGGATCTGCGTGCGCAATTACTGCCGCTAGTTGCTGGTATGGCCTATGACAGCAGTAAGATTTGCTGGTCCCGACAATATCCAGTGTTCATTTGACTGAGTTAGGTGACTTGGACAAACAGTTCTGAAAGCCGCAGCATAGCTTCTTTAACTCGCTTCCATTCAACCTCCTAGAAATCTTCATCCTCATGACTGTGCGTTTCCAGTAGCGCTTTAGTCAGAGCAGCTCGATACTATTGAGCTACTGGAAATTGTCAAAGTGATGGACGGAGCTGCTCTCCTTTGGCACCTTTGACCTTCTGAAGCCTTCAAATGAGGCGGCGTCATCAAATCAGAAAATGGAGTCCTACTATAACCGCAAAGTGGCGACATCTTGACATCGGACAGAGCGTGCTAGTAAAGGACTATCGTGGTAATCGCGTATCCCAACATTCAGGAAAAATCACTTGGCGAATCGGAAAGGTCATCTATGATATTCGCGTGGGTTCCGAAACGTGGGTTTGTCATGCAAAACAGTTAAAAGAAGCTTATTCACAAACCATCCCGACCTAAAGCTGACACCTTGACGTGGTGGTCGGGCTTGAGTGCTGCAGCGATCCCGCGGGCTACAGTGGCTGGAACTTCGTTCCACAGGGTGCAACCATGCCAGGAAGGCCAAAGGGTAGCAGCCAGACAAAGAGCGGCGAGACCCCGTACTACGAGTAATCGTGCTACGAGGCGGTCTGGGGGTAAAGCCGTATTGTCCTCTGCGACAGGAGTGTGAAGGCAGTAAGGTGTTTCCCCCAGGCGACCAGCATGTCCATATTTATGGAAGCAGCGATCCTGCCTTCCCCCGAGGAAGGACGGGTTAGAAAAGGTCGGCCCCAAAAACCGCACACTCCGATCGCCCAACGGTTGACCGTGACCGCCGGCGCATTATCCAATACGGTCGAAA